CGGATTAGTGTACCAAATCACGTATGGCACACCACTACAGATGCCACAACCATTCGGGGTTTGACAACACCTTTGCACGTAACACTTTTATAATCGAAGTATGTCAACTCAGCCAAATCAGAAAGCACAACTGAAAGGGATCGAGGTTATATTTAAAAGGCTATCAATATCTCGAGAATCGTTTCTACCAAGCTGACTAACGGTTGCAGGAAAAGCATAAAACGGCGTTATTTGTAGCAAATACGTGACCAGGAGCCTTTAGTTAGGTGAATCCAGTAAAACTGATGAAGTCATTGAGGATGATACAGGTATTCAGTGTTTGACAACGCTTCTACCAGTAACACCTTCTAATATGCTTTGTTCTCACCGAGAGAAATCAAAAGACAGAGTCGAGGAGATCGGAAGAGTGTATTTGGCGATAACCAATGTATCGGGAATCTCTGATCTAATCTGGCTAGTGATTGCGTTTGATGTTGAGCACAGCGTTACAGCACGTGATCTGGTGCGGATGCATGGCCGAGCGCCTTCAGCTAGATGAGTCCACTAAAACATATTGTCAGCATCTAATGTCGAAAACCTACAGAGCTATTTAGTTTGGGGATTTATATACCGCTACAGATCACTCCCCCCTAGTGGGGCAGTGATGACCCTAAGACGTGGCCAGCCAGAAGTTTAAACCCAACGAGTTTGCCGTTGGTAAACACTCTTCTGATAGCTTACTAAATTTAGCAGCGTCTGGTCGTCTTTCCTTACTATATAAGACCGGGGTACAACATAGTAAAAAAAGAAATGTACAATGAAAATTTCGTATCCTAATAAACGTCATCGTTCTTTTCCAGCCGTCCTGGAAAAGAAAAAAGAAAATGTAAGTGCATGTCGAAAATACACTCGTATGTGCGTAAAAAAAAGAAAAAAAATCATGAACACGTAATAGCGTTAAAAAATTGTTTTTTTTGTTTTTTTTTGAAATAGAAACAAAAATATATAAGCATGTTTAAAATTTTTTAAATAATATAAAAAATGTCGAGAAGTGCCTTACGTGCAATAGTCGTTTAAATGTCCTGGAAATCTCACTCTTCTTCCAGAACGCGTCGTTTTAAGTTTATTTTCGGATAGTGTCGAAGTATCATCGTGTGTGTTGGTTGTCGGGTGAGATATTATAAGTGTCGGAGTCGTGTTATTCAATTGTACCGAAGGAAAATCCACGTAGATAGGACTTCCTTCTAATTACGCTGTTTTGAGGCAATCGATGCTTATGCTATCGTTGATTCCGTTTTTATCGATTATATAGTACTTCGGTTCGCGTTGAAGAACTTTGAAAGGTCCTTCGTATGCTGATTCGAAAGGTCGTCGATGCGAGTCTCGACGAACGAAAACATCAGAGGTTATCAACTCGTAATTAGATAACGACAGTGGACTAAAACAGCACATACAATACTCAATGTTCTTACGGCAAACTAATGTTTTTGACACATTTCTGATGACCTGTCTTAAAACTTTGAAAGGTCCTTCGTATGCTGATTCGAAAGGTCGTCGATGCGAGTCTCGACGAACGAAAACATCAGTTGTTTGAGGTCGAGTGGAAGCAGGTTTAAGTGAACGCATTGCGTTTGTAAGCCTGTTCGTGTAGGAGGTTAGATCCATGTTCATTGAAGAGGATGAAGGATCCACGAATTCTCCTGGAAGTCGAAGTGTCGTTCCATAAACGAGTTGAGCCGCAGTGTATCCAATGTCAGCTTTCAATGCATTGCGGATACCTAGTAAGACGAGTGGAAGAGCGTCGGTCCACTGAGAAACGTTTGCAGCGAGTGCTTCCTAATAGTGTGGTCAGACGACGGAAAAGTTCAGACTCAAACTGACGTCCGCGGTCTGTAGTGATGGTTGAAGGGCAACCGAAGTTTGCTACCCATCGTTCGACGAAGGTTCGGGCCACTGTTTCAGCAGTGATGTCCTTGATAGGTACTGCTTCTGGCCATCGAGTGAAACGATCTACACAGGTTAAGAGGTAAGAGTATCCATTTGAATCTGGTAAAGGTCCTACTAAATCCAGATGAACATGGTCGAAACGAGCATCGGGAGTTTTAAATGAGCCTAAGGGACATTTATTGTGTCTGATGACCTTAGATTTTTGGCAGCTTACACAAAAGCGTGCCCACTCCCTCACGTCTTTATTCATACCAGGCCAGCAAAACCGTTCTGCAATGAGCTTGATGGTTGCACGAACACCTGGATGAGAAAGTTTGTGCAATGTGTTGAAGACATTGCGTCGATAATGTTTCGGGACGATTGGGGGATCCCTACCTGTAGATGTGTCACAAAGTAAGGTTTCCTTACCTGTTCCCATCTCAGTAAATGTGACTAGTATTTCGGTACTGATTCATTTGGTTCGCGAGTGTACTTGAGTTCCACTACCCAATACAATTGTGACAATCTCGCATAAAGAGACTGATTGTGAAATATATTCCTAAAGAACTGTTTTGCGTTTTTAAGACTATCAATCTCCTCAACATCCAACTGGGAAAGTGATAGTACAAATCCAAATAAAACAACTATGCTAAAGCGTGAATACATTTTGTACTTTAAAAGGTTATCAACTCGTAATTAGATAACGACAGTGGACTAAAACAGCACATACAATACTCAATGTTCTTACGGCAAACTAATGTTTTTGACACATTTCTGATGACCTGTCTTAAATCTATCAGTCTTTTACTGCATCTATCTTGGTCCGATGGGATGATTTTACATGTTTATTTGTGATCACTTAAACTTTATCAGTTTAAACGTTACAATAATCTCATTAAATGTGACTAGTATTTCGGTACTGATACATTTGGTTCGCGAGTGTACTTGAGTTCCACTACCCAATACAATTGTGACAATCTCGCATAAAGAGACTGATTACTTTGCCCTTACTTCGGTATGGTTATGGTATTGTACTGATGATGATACAGGTATTCAGTGTTTGACAACGCTTCTACCAGTAACACCTTCTAATATACTTTGTTCTCACCGAGAGAAATCAAAAGACAGAGTCGAGGAGATCGGAAGAGTGTATTTGGCGATAACCAATGTATCGGAATTCTCTGATCTAATCTGGCTAGCGATTGTGGTAGATGTTGAGCACAGCGTTACAACACGTGATCTGGTGCGGATGCATGACCGAGCGCCTTCAGCTAGATGAGTCCGCTAAAACATATGGTCAGCATCTAATGTCGAAAACCTACAGAGCTATTTAGTTTGGGGATTTATTTACCGCTACATCATCTTCAATGTCGAAGAGATAATGAACTATTTATTTTGTGGATATTTTTAACCGCTGCGCTCAGATCCTACTACCGAAAAAGTGCCCTCCTCACATTCAGCAGGAAATTAAAAGACGCAGAATCTTATCAGCGCGGTTAATTTGGATTTGACACACTTCGAGTTCGTTACCGCAGATTCTCACTCTAAATTCTAATTCTTATTCCTCATATTAACTTACAATAATATCTTGACCCCAGTAAATAGGTAAGTTGCCTCAAAGTCATTTTGGCGTCGTTTGAAGGTCATCTATATATTCTAATCAAGTTAACTTCTACAAGACTATGTTCACTTCGAAATTATACTCCGTGTTAATACCATCCGAAGGGAACAGTCTTTCACGTAAATGAACTCAAATTATTGTCTTCACATTTTGGATCATTACCCAGGATTGTTTGTAGACATTTCGTAGGGACCCATTTATTTGTGATAACATTCGTAGCTTGTTAAATTGGTAAAATATTGCTTAGTAATTGGTATAGTCTATCATCTTGCACTAAACTTACAGCTATTATAATGATAGATATGTCTATCATTCTGCCGCCGCTTTAGAATGTGACAGTTGCGTTTTTTCAGCAGAAATGTCTCAACTTGACCCTATTGATCATTTGTTTCAATAGGTTTGCGTTACCACTTGTCATTTTCAGAGCAGTTTTTCTGTAGGTAATTTTTTAAAACAAAGCTACCAAAGTCTCTCAAAAGATTACTGTAAACCTCCAACAATCAATTGTTACTATTACATTTGGTTATTTACGATACACTAGCACACTCAATTTTTATTAACTCGTTCAAGAGCTACTTGGCTACAAGCCAGACCATGTGAGGGACAGCAATACTAACTGGTCCCATGAACCTAAGTTGTTACTAACGCGTTCAAGCCACCGTCTCAAGAACTGAATTTTCAGTCTTTTTACAGTTTGGAGCTACAAAGATTTCAATTCCTCGTCCCCTCGAAATTTTGGCCTATAAACCTGTACTTAGAAACTCCAGTCTCCAGTAAATTTACTCTCAAGAAGCCAGAAATTAGTTGTTGACGAACTCCGCCCTCAGTAGTAGTCGTTATATAAATTATTTGTTTCAATAGCAAATGTTTTTCATCGAATTGATGTTTTGAAACCTAATATCTATGCAAATGACCGGAAACAATAATTGTCACAAGTAGCTCTATGACCTCAATTAACGATTTCATCGCTAAGTAACCATCATGGATCTGAATATATTGGTTTGTTTGGTGTATACTCCACCAAACCATATCTCTAACAAACGTGTCAAATGGTCATAATTAGGTTTTATTAGTGTTCAAGTATCGTCAACTTCCATATCTTGATATTACAGTGGTTAATACAAGGCTCATTTTCTCCGCAAGGCCGTTTGAGTTGCTTGTTGATAAATCGCTTCTCATTACTCATATCTTGCCACATTTTACCAACATACCTGATAGTTTTTATTCCAATACATGGAAGATTTACAGCAGGTCAGTTTATATAATTCCTGTGTTTTCAAGTTAAAATATTTCTCAAAAGGTTCATTGTTTAATTGTATTACGTTTTTAAGGGGGATCGTAATAGACCAACAGATCTCAGTGCTAAACAGCTTTTTTGCCCTAATGCAACATCATGTAAATTAACATATCAATGAGATTTTTGATTGCTTAGTTAGGTACATAATGTTTTTGTTTCGCTCACTTAGCAAGGAATATGACTGACTTCATTGAAGCGGTATCCAATCCATTGGCACCTGATGTGTTTGTGGGTCATGGTGACTTTACAAATCAAAAACTATCTAATAGTGATTTTCGAAAATTGTTAATGACACCTAAGCCATCAGTACAACCTTCAAAAATTGATGAAGTACATGAAACTGGGACCCGCATTTCTACTCACCACTTGGAAAGATCCGATCGTATACGCCAAGATCCTAGTCAAACTATTCATCGTAGTAAACATAAGATAAGTCACAAGCGTCATCATGTTCGTAGCAAAAAAGATACTCAAAAATCAGATGTTGCTGAATCAACACATCGTTATCGAGATCGTGCAAAAGAACGACGTGACGGCAAACTAGTTGCTCCAACTGAGGAAGTTGAGGAAGAACGAGAAATGGAAAATGATGATGATACTTTAACTCGTACAGCCGACTATCGTGCTGTTGCACCATCGTCTGCTGCTGGTGCTTCACATGCTGAACGTCGTCGAATGCTTATACAGGAATCTAAATATCTTGGTGGTGATATGGAACATACTCACTTGGTCAAAGGTCTTGATTATGTTCTATTACAAAAAGTGCGTTTGGAAATACAGAATAAAGAAATTGAAACCGAACAAGCCCTGGATATTGAATTAAACAAACCTGATAAAATGAAAGAAAGTACTAATAATGAAGAAAGCATACAATTTCGTACTCATCTAGCGGCAAGTATATGCAATGTTATTTTCAATGAACGTCTCCCAGAACGTAATGAATATTTTCAACCTGGTCGCATGGCTTATCGTATTGAACTGGAAGATGATTCAGTGGATTTCGAAGTACCAGCTACAGTGATTCGTAGCAAATCTGATTGTTTACAAATTGATGGTCGTGGAACTGGTGCAATAACTACTAACGAAATTGTTATTAATAAACTTACTCAAATCTTATCATATTTACGGGCTGGCAAACGACATGCAAAGAAGGCTAAGCTTAAAGGACGTGTTGCTGACAAATCTGAATTTGATTATGAAGACAATCGACATCTTATTCATAAAATGGCTAGTAAGTTTATTGCTATTAGTTGGTAAAGTTTTTTTCACTACGAATGTGATCCACTGTATTATTAACTAGAGGATGTTGTTACGTATGAGGATATTAATCATTTCTGAAATAAACAATTAATGTAAACCACTCTACCAGGCATTAATTCCAACTCAATTTTATTAAATTCAAAACAATTTAATTCATTTACCAAGTACATTTTCCTATATTCGACTTCAAGCCATATTATATGAAGGCTATTTACTTTACTCAACTTCCCAAAACAGATTAGATGGAGTGATGTCCGAACTTGTGACCAGCTATGTGAATTAATCAGAACTATACCACCACTCCAGTTGGTAACCACTAAGCTAAATAATTTGCAAATACTTTCTTGGGTGACTGATGACACTCGATAGAAAAACGTTGTGGTTATGGACGATTATTGGACAAGTATGTATCAAACCTACAATAATATCATGCTTTCATTATTCTGCTTTATGGTTAAAGGTGGTAATTGTGATCTGAAGTTTTGACTGATTCTCTGTAGGAGTTGATTGCGTTAGTGAATTAATCATCGACGGCAGAATTATACAGTACTTGGATCACAGTTACTGACTTAACTTTATCAATCAGGTTACTTACTTCAAACCTCAGCATATGGATGTTATGGGTTCGAACCCCACCCCGCTTTACCACTAACATTCACATCTAAAATGTACCTCAAAGACAAGTGCGTGAATATATACCTCGTAAATGACTCACTTAATATTCTCCTTGTTTTTATATCATGTAGTCTTCGTGACTATTAAAGACCCATTGGAATTTACCGTGTTTTTTTAAAATTTAAATTTTCTTAGGTAATATCTGTACACTATTGAATGGTTTAGATTTCTATAACTCATTAATAGCTTATAACGAGCTTTTGCAATCAATTTTGAGTCATACACTTTTTGGATGCTCAAACTAAATTAGTTATCCATATTACCCATATCAATCAGCTCTTCTTTCCCTCTCTTTAAACTCGATTTGTGTATACAGGTACACACTACTAATGAATTTGACCGTGAGTGACATCTACACTAAGCGTTTCATACATGAATCCGTTTGTTCTTGGCTAAGATGTTTCTTATAAAGTCACCGTTTTTAATAGTTCAAATGTTATAAACAACAACTAAAGAACAGCTAAAAGGTAATTAAAGCGCAGAAATATCTTTATAGTTATTTTTCCATCCAGACTCTGCTAATAAGTATGTTTTACAATAATGATGAAAAAAGACCAATTAAGTAGTAGCGATACATTTTAGCTAGAGCTGGATGGTAGCTAGCATCGGAATTCAGGACGAGGATTTCATCATATTCTGGGACTCGTCAGCTGAATGTATCTGTATCCCAGAGTTGATGTTCACTTCAGGAGTGGAACCCAATACCGTTCGCTTTAAACACTATCGCGTTATCCACTTAGCTACGGAGTCCAGATACTCACTAGCTTGTGTAATGGGGTGCACATATGCTAATAAGAGACTGATCAACTGCAGCTCTAAACATCAATGGAAAGATCCAAACAAACAAGAAATAAATTAAAACGTCACCCCCGTTACACAAGCTAGTGTCCATCTGGACTCAGTAGCTAAGTCGATAACACGATGGCGTTTGAAGTGAACGATACTATGTTTGAGTCCTAGAGTGAATATCAACTGTGAATTGTAGTTACATCCAGTTCACGAGTTCCAAATAGAACGAAACGCGCGTTCTGGATTAAACTACCATAATCTCAGCTTAAAATGCTTGTGACTGAAAGCAATATCGAGGCAATCCGCATAGGATGCACATATGCCAATAAGGGACTAATCAATTACAGTCCCAAACATCAATGGGAAGATTCAAACAACCAATACAAAAACTTAAAGCAATTAGTCCCTTTTATAAATTTCGATAAAACAATGAGAAGACGTAGTTGATCTGAAAAATGTGATGTATTTGCGCTATACATTTCGAACAATCTGATCACACATATACTTGTCAAGCCATTTTTATATGAAATTAATAAAGGTCAAACGAATAAAAGTACAATTAAAATAACTAAGGGGAGAGAAAGAATAAGAAATTGTCGTGTTATCCTAGGCCATAAAATGACTTAAGGATTACCAAGGTAAATTCAAGGTTACGACAAATTGTTTTTGTACACATAAGGGGGGTTTAAATTTACGAATAGCTAAGGCTTCAATAAACTTAAGAATTCGACCTTGACAATTTCTATACAACATTCTAAATGATGTATTAATGTCAATCAAACAGTATAGTTTTAAGACAGAGATTGAAAGCAGCCATTGAGAATACGTATTATGCTGCTCAGTTGGTTGTGATTGAAAAGTCTAAGGCCATGATTCCTAATAGACCTAAACAATGTATTAATGATTACGTCACATCCCATTGTATTTACCAATTTACATGTTTGTGTGGACACACATACATAGGGAGGAGTAATCGAACAATGCAATCAAGGGTCAATGAACATGTGCCCAGATGGCTTCAAAATCAGTGTGTGTCAAATGACCCGATCAATGTAGGAGGTAGAAAACCAAGTTCATCGATAGCAAAACACATAATTGAGACGGGGCACAAGATTGACATTAATACATCATTTAGAATGTTGTATAGAAATTGTCAAGGTCGAATTCTTAAGTTTATTGAAGCCTTAGCTATTCGTAAATTTAAACCCCCCTTATGTGTACAAAAACAATTTGTCGTAACCTTGAATTTACCTTGGTAATCCTTAAGTCATTTTATGGCCTAGGATAACACGACAATTTCTTATTCTTTCTCTCCCCTTAGTTATTTTAATTGTACTTTTATTCGTTTGACCTTTATTAATTTCATATAAAAATGGCTTGACAAGTATATGTGTGATCAGATTGTTCGAAATGTATAGCGCAAATACATCACATTTTTCAGATCAACTACGTCTTCTCATTGTTTTATCGCAATACAAAAACGAGTTACATTTTCATGTTACAATTTTTTTTAGTTATGAAAATAATGTTTAATGGTAAGCTAAGTAATTGAAAGAATCAAAGTAACTATCTATAAAAAATGAAAATGTAGTTCAATAATTGACAGCTTATATACTCCAACGACAGACTTATTTGGGGCAGACGCTGAAAAAATGCTGTCTTCTGACCACCGTAAGCAACAATGCAAGCATATTTAAGATGTAATTCCCCCCTCCAAAAATGAAAAATGTTGTTTCAAGACTGGGTTGTATCAGTACCTGAATTAATGATAAGGAGTGAAGTCGTTAAGTGTCCCGACTGTTTCACTTATCTTGTGAATCTCATCATTCCTGATAGGTGGTTGGTGTCTGACGAAAACTCGGTTGGCTTTTACCAAATTGAATCATCAATAGCGTTGGCAATATATCCACCTGGAAACCAAAGTGCGGGTTTACTACGGAACGGTTTGTTCGGTTCCACTTTATGGGTTCGAAACATGTCTACTAAGAATAGAGGTTATATTGTGACGGGCGGTGTTCAAAATCTGATACTGGTACACAGTGTGCTACGCACTGACCTCCCAACTGACTACTTGAGCGAGAACACAAGAATGAGCGGCAAAATGTATTGGGCAGCCGAATAAAATGCACAAATACTCATTCATATATATACCACTCCAATTCTTAGGAAACTGACCATTTTCTTAGCCAATGAAATTCGCTGGTCGTTTAGGCCGCTTCTGATTGTCGTCGATTGACCTCATTAGGCTACTTCTTATTGGCTCTTCATATCAAGATATTTGTAGTTTACCAGTCTTCCACCATATCGTCGAAGAACCTCTCGTTTATTTTGGGACCACCGAGTAAGCATTGCCGAGGTTAGGGATAAAGTACTGGGTAACAATTGCAAACCTGTTGATGACATGGTAAATCTTCATCAACTGAGGTAGTTGAAACATGTGTTACGTATGTCCAGCCACTTCCCACCTCAACAGGTGATATCAGGTGTAGTAGGCTGAAACAAAGTTAGGTGCGACTGAACCAAAACATGGAACCAGTCCATGACATCTCGGACAATTTAACTAAGCCATGTAGATAGCTGTAGACTACTATAATGGTAATAATAATAATAATAATAATTATTATTATTACCAAAAAATCAAAAGAAAAATAATATATTGTATCGGTGTATTTGTGTGTTGTGTTGAATTTACCTGATGCGCATATATATTCTATGCTGGTTACCGTGCACATTATTGACTGAGATTCTTTAATATGAAATATGGATGTTCGCGAATTGTCTTGATAGGAAGCTAATTGAATAACAGCTACACAATAATTTAAACCAATATAAAATTTATGTAAGAACATAGAAATTTGAGGAATTCAAAAGTTTTTTGGAAATGTTTTTACACAAATTGTGGAATCGATATATTGTTTTAACTTACTCTAGTTTTTACCATAAATTGTACAATTTACTGATAGCTTAAGCTTTATTTTGCCATTTGAAATGGATTTTATTTTCCAATTAACCTATGCAAATTATATTCGTGTGTTTTAAAATCTGTACCTTGTTTGAAGTTGAGTGAAATTAATTCAAGTTTTTATAAATTTCTTAACTGTAGTCTCTTACTTTAATTATTTTTTTAAAATAATTGTTATATGGTCAAAAGTACGTCCGTACAAAGTTCGGGTTCCTATTGTTGAGTTGATTTAGTTGGTACTAATGGGATTGTGTAAGTCAAGGCAACTGTAAAAAAGATTTAGGTTTCACAGAGTATTAGTAAAAAAATCCATGGTTCTAACCACGATAAAGCAATTTCAGTCATTCAAAGTAAGATATATGATCAGGAATTTTAACAGAAGTATCCATTTTCCTAATACCGAAGAAATACATTCAAAGGTAAACTTGATACACCGTTTAATCTACTGTCAAAATGCATAACAAAAACTTGTCAAGTGTATTTGGTAAATATGAAGCAACGATCATTTAGTAGTCATGGTACTCTGGTTCCAGTCAGTTGTACATCATCATTTCGAACTACGCTCCATGCACTTCGGTCCAACCAAATAATGGATAGCATCCGCGCAAAAACTGCGACTAGTAGTGGTTCAGTACTTTGGATGATATAGATCAGAATTGTTCACAGTAACGCAGGTGTATTCACTCGTCTCCTTTTAGATGTTAAGTTTCCTAATTATCTCTTTAAAAAATCATTCAACGAATCCATATTTTCTCTTGAATCTTGTCTTCTATTCCTAATCTTTTCCACTACCATTATTACTGCTACTAATTGTAGTAACCTGGTATCTCTATTCTGATATAGTGCAGTAACTTGAACTAATGCATATATATACCGAGTTCTGCTTTGCGTATGATTGACTGGGTAGCAACAGCAAACCTTATATAAAGTAGTCTGTGGCTAGCAAAACGAAGTTCATGAACTTGTATATTACAAATATGAGTACTGATCATTACTAGTATATGATATATATATTATCATAAGAGGACGAAAATTATCAGAACTATGCAGTAAGTTGGCACAATACATTTCGGACAATGTGACCACACATATACTTGTTAAGAACAATTATACATGAGAATAAATAGTCAACTAGACAACTGGATAATCTTCGCCTTCTTATTACACCATCTAAATTTATCAAATGGACTAATTCCTGTTAATTTGAAATATTTGTATTTGGAGTCAATTACAATCAAATTACATTTACCCAATTAATCTACGAGTTAAATATTTAAATGCATCGTTTTCCTGTCCTTTTAATATAAACTGACACGAAAGTTTAGTTGAAATTCACTTTAATCAAGTTATTCCAAAGTATTATATATCATTAGTATAAAGGGATTGTGGAGATTGTTAATTTCATAGTTTGCATTATAGCACCTGTCCTACAATTGGGTTTGTTTACGGGTAATTTTATCCACTACTTCAATTAACTTATTCAACAGACAGTGTTATTCTAACGGTAACAATTTGTTAATTCCTTTTTATTATTATTATCATGTCTGTATAAGCATGTATGCTTGATTACGTATAACGGCCTACGCGCATAGTCCTCACTACACCTTAAATGTTAGTTGCTTAAAAGTCGCTCGATGAATCACTTGCTTTCCCACATATATATGTGCTTGAATCTTATTAATTGATTCGCTTCAATTCGATTTGACTCGGAGTTCGCCTATGTATTCGCTTGTTTGTGTGCGCCAGCCTTTCTGCTCAAATTCACTTTGTTTGTATTGTGATCTGTGCTGTCTAATAATAAACTGTAGTCGGCGCTTCGTGTTGCCTTCTGAATTTGTACACTATCGGGAAATATTTAATAAAGTTTATCAGGGTGATAGATAAACTAGGCTTGATGAATTATTTCTAAGCCAAGCCACTACGATATTACGGACTGAGCATAGCTAAATGATCATAGACCAAGTGGCACTGAATATCTCTTTCGGCCTAGTATGGAACTTCTCAGTAATGTACATTCGCGACCGCATCAGAGATTGAATTTTAGAACCTTCAGGTCTCACCCAAACCACTGAGCCAGCATCCAGCGGTGTGTAGATCTAACTCCGACCAATTCGTGATATTAGGCGGTGTATAACTACCACTTACATCCGACATAGTTGTGCTCCACTGTTCTCGGCTTCTGAGTTCGATTCTCAGTGGGGTCATTGACGCACACTAATGGGGAGTGCCATACCTTGTCCTTTGTCTCCTGGTTTTCAATGGTTGTTCAACTAATATCAACCCACCATTTAGACTCTGACGGTTATATATTAACTAGTCGAAGTTTTCTGTGTACCATATTTTTACATCTCTCCTTGCTCACCATGATGACCTATACTTTTGTTTACTTAAGTTTTTTTTCCACACATTTACATAATCACATATATCAATCAGCTTTGTTTTAACTAATAATTATGTATAGTCATTTTGGAAAATTTTTCGGTAAATCTATATATAATAGTTATGACTGAGTGAACCAATTCGATATAATATAGCCCCTCCCGGATTTGTGCCCGCAATTCAAAGTTCATTAAAAGATGATAACATGTGTCTTATTAAAAACTAAATGGAAATTATATTTGCCTAGTTCCTAAAAGTTCGATTGATAAAATGTCATTTGTACAGTGGCACTTTGTGTGTATGTTAAATGGTATGTAAATCAAACTTCAACAAACACCTGATTCACAGCGTGGTCAATAGTATTTTTATGGATACAAATTATTCTAACATTCGTAACTCATATCTCTATCCAAACTCCTAATATACAAACCTAACCCTCTTTCGCCTCGTTTACTGTGATAAATAATCCAATATGTAAACGTTTGTTAAGATGTTTGGTTTCCAAAATTTTATACTATACGCTAGTTCAACCTGCTATTCGAGCAAAAAACTGAGATAGGGATTTTATTGACTAAGTAAGTCGTGCTATATACGTGCTCATGTATAAAAAGTCAATGACAGTGTAAGTCCCATTCCTAGAGTATATAACCTATTTCTTGGCCAATCCTGTGCATTCATCATTTGACCGATTTTTGATTGACCAAATGTATAAACGTTCATTAATCATGTGGAAACTTTACTTGTTGAGATTTATTATTTTTTGTTACATATCTTTATATAACCTAACATTGTTTCATGATTGACTGATAAGTCACTAAAGGTTGTCAGTATTGTAATTTACTTTTATCACACTTTTCTACGCGTAAAATGTATATCTTTTTGTTACCTAATTGGACTTGTCTTTTTTACTTGATAACAGATACTGCCATATTTGAAGGTATCGGCAACGATTACTTACCGACAACAAAGAAACAATGCAAAAGTAACGATAGGATGGATTTACCATATGAGGATTCTAGAGTGTCGAATTCACGTAATCGTCTACCCGCTTCTAATACTACTACATCTGGTAGTAATAGTAACACCAATGCTGAATCAAATAGTGCACAAGCATCGTACTTCGATATTCCCGCCAATGCTGATTCAGTCACAAATAATTCAATAAGTGCTACTAAAGAATTTTTAAATGAATTAAGTCAACGTTTTGATGTTAAAGATGAAAATAAGTTACAGGAAAAAGTAGGTTATATGTATATATGTATTTATTTATAAATGAGTAAATAAATCTTACGTAGGACTCAAGTAAATTAGACTGGGCAGTCGATTTCATTAATTTATTTAAACATATAAACATTAGTACAAGGAGGCACTAAATAGATATGCACCACACAAATCATTTGATTTGTGTGAGGGCCGGGATACTGTCCGGGCGCCAAAACCGAAGCAGATGGTTTTCTTAGGGGTCCACTCCCCTAGTACTAGTATACACAATGTTAACTAATCAGATTGTATACCTATTCATCGTTCCAACCAGAGATTATATAATATGGTGATTAATTCTTAAATGTATTCACTTGAATAACTAGTTTCAAATCGGTTGATGAAAAGAAGGAAAGTTTATGGCGATATTTTAACTTCTCATAAAGCTGTGATAAGGATAATGATTAGGGCATCACTAAAACATTCACCACCAAGAATATTTCGCTCAGAAATAGAACTCGGAAGTACTGGATGGTAATTTCGTCCTAGTGTAGGAATCCTCAGCAGTTCGCATCTGGAAATCGAATCCATGACCTCAGCCTCGCACGTGAACGCTAAACTCATAGATCATTGATCTGGCATCCTGTGGTATTAGCATTTAATTCTAATGAATTTATGATATTGCGCAACCTTCATTAATCGTCTGTGATGGATAACTGGCTAAGTAATAACATCGGTAAAATTCACTCGGCACATAATCCAGTACATATTGATCAATTAGGGTCCTTAACGGGATAAGTTAGTCAATCAGCTACAATGTCGGACCAGGCACATATATGCATCGGTCCAAGTTGCCATACCGCATTAGCACAGCAAGATGGACACTGGCTTCATCGACGTAGTTACTTCAATGGGAGTAATATATAGAAGAAAGAACGGGGTAAACACAAACTATTAGGGACTACAGTCAAAACAGCAATATTAGAAAATTAAAGTGTTTATCAACATGTTCATATCTTACCATCATTGTTATTCTCTTATAACATCTCATATCAATAAGGAATGACACAATCATTAAGTTTATTTGAAGCTAACAATTCATGTTAGTCATCACCAAATTAAATTCCGCCTGTAACTCTTCTAGAGTTAATGACGGTTACAAGCCCGGGTAAAGGAGGAGGGTTGGGCATGAGGTCGGACACCCCATCCCGTAGAAAAATATCTGGCTATAAAACACCAACCAGATTAAACAAATTAAACCATTTAAACTGTGCCCTGGGAGTCGAAGGAAGAATTATGACGCCTCAGAATGAAAGACGAGATTCTTCGGAAGTCACGAGGCCGATTTCCCTTCTAACAATCAGATCAATAATAATTATCGGACGCCTAACAAAGACTCGTGAACTGCAAATACGACAGAATTATGCTGGCTTCAGACCTGGTCGTGGCTGTATCGACCACATATTCACCATTCGTCAGGTTCTAGAACACAGGTATACTTATCGGCGTCCAACAATGGTAGTCTTTCTTGACATAAAAGCAGCATTTGACTCCGTAGACCGCGAGATTCTGTAGCAGTGTCTGTCATTGAAAGGCGTACCTCAGAAGTACATAAACCTTTTGAAGGTTCTTTACTCGAATACTACTAGTCGAGTCAGAGCTTATGATGAACTGTCATCTGCTTTTGCAACCTCAAGTGGTGTCCGTCAATGCTGTCCACTTTTGTTTTACTTTATCATTGACCTACTAATGGAAATAATGCTCTGGTCGACTGAATTCTCGGGTATTGTTATCCTTCCCGGAGGTCCACTTATCGACTTAGAATACGCGAATGCCATAGTCCTGTTTGGCGAAGACGCTGATAAAATGCAGAGTCTTCTGGTAGCACTGAGCAACAATGCCAGAATATTTAGGATGCGCTTCTCTCCTCTAAATGCAAGTTGTTGCTTCAGGATTGGTCTGCGTCAACACCTGAACTAAGGATAGGGAGTGAAGTGGTCGAACGCGTCGACAACTTCACTTATCTTGTAAGTCTGATCAGTCCTAATGGGTTCGTATCTGATTGGATCGATAATACTATTTAGTCGCAAGTTCTTATTATTGTTGAACAGTAGATAGTAATGGAGTCCACGACGAGCGTTTCGTCCTATTCAGGACGAATAATATAATGAATCTATACTGTCTGGAAGCCACAACTCATGATTGCACAGTTATGTCCTTTTTTCATGTATTTATTTTTAGGCAAGTCTTGAACGATTCTTTGCTAAAACTCAAGTCACGTGTTACGATGAATGTTATCCTGGTTTCGCTGAATCATACGATGCTATGGGTGATTCTGATGATGAAGCTGATTTTAGCAAAATGGATTTAGGTAATAAAAAAGGTCCAGTTGGTCGATGGGACTTTGAAACACAGGAAGAATATAGTGATTATATGTCGAATAAAGAGGCTTTACCAAAAGCTGCATTTCAATATGGTGTTAAAATGGCTGATGGTCGTCGTACACGTCGTATTGGACCAAAAGATGAAAAAGCTGAATTAGATCGTCAATTACAAAAAATACAATCAATCATACAAAAACGTAAACAATTAGCTGAAGATAGTGGTCCAGTAGGGAAAAATGTCCGATTTTAAAAATTGTTATCATATACATGTGCATTTATTTAACCTTTGGTTTTTAATTTGATTCTACATGAAATAACTTTTATATTCAGATATTTTTGCCTGTCCGATTTTTTGTGAGCTGTTTTAATCATTTAAATTAGATTATCGTCAAAATGAATTGGGAATAGTGCGTGAAAGTGATTATTCACTTTTTATTTGTCAAATATATAGTTCTACTTATTTTCAACTTTTTATTAGATCTCTCAGTTCTCAAGGGTCGACGCGCTCATTCACTTTTTTAATCATACGTAGACGAAATGTTTCAAACTTAGGTTTTGCACTCATCAACAAAGAGTATTTACGTTCTTGATATAACTGGGAATTCTTGAACTTCTTATCACTAATAAGCTAGCCTTTCCACAACTCCTAGTAGGAATGAAATATTTACACTAATTAGCAAGAATTATTATCTTACATATATATTAGATAATGGCTAGCAGTGGAATCCAGGATGCGCGTCCCTTCCTATTTGGGACTCGTCAGCTGGATGTACCTGCATCCGAGTTGATGTTCACTCTGGCACTCGAACCCAGTACCGTTCGCATCAAACGCTGTTTTAGTGGCCCATTGATCTGGCTCCATTCAGATTGTATGGAAGATGGCTGGGAAGCCAACTTCATTTCAAGCCAGGCATTACTCAATATTTATAGGCAGACAAAATAAACCACAGACATGTGATGAGTCATGTGACATGAAGTGTACACACATACGCTCATATGAAAACAGTCAAGGCTAATAAGCGAATAATTAACAAGGTCAAAATATGACTCAACTAAAATGAATAGAATGGAATGTCCGGAAACTAGAATAAGATATATTATGGGCTAAAACTAATGACTAACACTACATAGCCCCCTCGTAGAAAATAGCACATTTAGAAAATGTCTGTTTTCGAAAATAACACTGAAGTGATATGAAGTTAACGTTAGCAACAAGTAGCGAAAAAAAGTACAACACTCGATAAAGTAGTGTTTCACATGAGGGATGAGTGTATTATATGCAAGTGTCTTACTTATGTAAAAGAATACATGAATATCGCAAAGGTGCGGACAAAAATGGAAACGTTAGCATGCGAATATGAGCAAATTAATGAGCGTACAAAAAATTAACATGTACTAATGATATGACTGTCTGAACAATAAAATAACACGTTCATATGAGCGATTCAAAATATCGTGAAAATAGTGATAAATTGTTTGTGAGTATGACAGCGAAATAAATCGTGAAAATAAGTAAAGTAGAATAAGACAGTAATTGGTCTGTGATGCCGATAGAATAGTGAAATATGTTAAATATATGTTCTGTTGAGCCGCATAATAGATAGCATCGACTGGTGATGAGTGAATCCGAATTAAAATGTGTAGTTCCCGTTCGTAGGATGATAATAGGCAAGTCGTGGAATGATAACTGCATTGACGGGTGATATTCGTTGCTGTACTGCAATTGATAATAATCATAAAATGTGAAGTCAGTGAACGTTGTCGTCTGTGTTATGACAGATGCATTGAATTATCGTTGAATATGTATTAGTAGAATGACCAGAGGAACAGAATAGTGACTGAGTAGACGAAGTACGTAGAGTCGTATTCCTTTTTGGTCATGAAGCCTAGAGTGGTGTGTGTGGTTTGAGGGAGATGCGCTCGATCTCGTTTGTTACAAAACCGTACCAAGGCATGACAAAAATACCAATACATATGATTATCGATGGCGACATATGAGACTCACTTGGATGTAAGGAACAAGAGTGTATCTTTGAGAGACTAGCTCTAAACTCTATGTTCTGATATACCGTGCGATGGGTATAGAATAGTAGTTGCAGTGCTCGAATAACGTTTTTGGTTGATAAATGATGCGGCATGCTGTTATGCATGTGAAAGAATAGATAAGATGAACGTAATGGTTTCTAATCAGCTAGTTAGATGCATCCACAGACATAATATTAGGCGATTTTAAAATGAAAAATGTATGTTATGATAACATAAATTGCTGACCTCGACTAAGTGAATGTATGCAATATTAGATCAAATGACATGAAAAAAATTGGAACGAAATCACTTAAAGCAGGGAAATTTCACGTTTTTGAATAGTAAAAATATTCCAGTGAGTTTTGAATGTCATAAAGCGGAGTGTTCATAAAATGATAATCTGTTCGGTGAGCAATATGATTGCGAAAATGTCATAATTTAATGACAGCATGAACATGATTATTAAGTCCACATTCGGTCATGATATTGATAATCATGTAATAATAAGCATATAATGATAATTTGAATCGTAATGGAGCAAACCGACGAATGGATCAATGAGAATAGTTGACATGAGGACAAAGTATCGATAAGATTTATTTATTTATTTCAACACATAGATAATGGTACAAAGAGGCACCAAATACATATGCGCCACACAAATCTCATCCGATATGTGTGAGGGCTGTGATACTGCCCGGGTGCCCAAACCGAAGCAGGTGGTTTTCTTAGGGGGCCACACCCCGAGCCTTCGACCCAAAGGTCTGATCCACAAGGCAGTGGAGCATCGTAAGGAGATGCAGTCACATGGAAGCCGGTGACCAACAATTGGTTCATTCGCCATTTGTTCCCGCAGGATACTGGAGCCCATGTGCACCATTGGTTTGGAATCAGGTTAAAGCGCCGGACATTCGCTTTTCGTCCTCTCATTTTCGTAAACAACACCCCCGCCACGAGAAGGCAGTGAGTAGGACTTCCCTGGCAGAGGCTATATACGCGTGGCCGTGTGAGAGTATTTCGAGAGGGAGAGCGGACTCTCCCCACTCTCGGCCGTACCAGGGCATTGTTGCACAGGCTTTGATAATTGCGTCGGATTGGAGATTGTGCTGGCTTCGCTCAAATGGTTGTGGACGGAATAGAAGAAGCTTTCGCTTAACAGACTTCCGTGTCTAGTAGCAGGGGATCACCAAATCCTCCAGGCAGGAACCTAGGTATGTTAACAATAAAAGAGGAAAAGAAATTGGTAAATCATAGTATGATACTGTCTTTGGTCCTTAAGAATAGGTCAAGTTGCCTCTTGAAGGACTCCTGAGAAGTCGCTTGGACTAGCTCAGCGGGCAGCGAATTCCAGCTTTTGACAACTCTTAAGGAGTAGAAGTTGTGTCTACATCCCGTCTTGCTATATTGAGTTTCCAGTTTCTGGGTGTTACCCCTTAGGTTATTATTCGAACTAAGCTTGAGTAGGTGTTTAAGAGGATGTCCAGAAGTGTTAAGAATACTATAAGCCATTAATAAATCACCTCTAAGACGCCTATACTCTAATGGGTAAAGGTCTAGTGAATGGAAGCGTTCTTCGTAAGGCTTAGATTTGAGTCCGCGAACTGATTTCGTGGCTCGCCGTTGGATACGCTCCAACGTGACGTTATCCTTTTGGAGTGAGGGGGGAGTACTATATTTCCGTACTCTAAATGGGGACGGATAAAACTATTGAAGATTGTATGGAAAGTTCTTCCGTCAAACTGGCCAAAAATGCGCTTCAATGTTACCAGTGCAAGATTAGCTCGGAAGGCATTTTTGTCACAATTAGCGTAAGACTTTAAATCATGGGGCACCAGGACTCCTAAATCTTTTTCGACTTGGGATACTACTAGAGTGGAGTTTCTTAAGTTATAACTGTAGTCTGCGACATGTCGCAGATGGACTACTTTACACTTTGAAGTGTTAAACGTAAGTCCGTTATCATCTGCCCAACTTTGAAGTCGAGTCAGATCCTCCTGAAGTGCCTGTGTATCGTCTTGGTTGCGTATCTCTCTCCAAAGTTTCACGTCATCGGCAAAAAGTAGTAAGTCTGACGTTACCTGTTGAGGAAGATCGTTTATGTAGATCAAGAAGAGGAGAGGCCCTAATACTGAGCCCTGGGGAACCCCACTAGGACATTCCATAGCCTGAGATAAAGTGAAATTAACCCTAACCTTAAAGTGTCGATTTTCTAGGTATGAAGTAAGCCAATCGATTAGAGGTGGTCTGATACCCAATCGTTTGAGCTTAGTGATAAGACACAAATGGTTAACTTTATCAAAGGCTTTTGAGAAGTCAAGGTATATGATATCAACCTTTCCCTTGCGATCGAGGATGCTTGTCCATCTGTCCACATCAGTCAGCAGGTTGGTTATACAAGAGTTGTCAACTCCAGTATACGTGTGTTCCACGAAGTTGACTCTAGGAAGGTTAAAGTCCCCTAGAATCAGGATATGTGTGAAACCGAGACGGGTAGAGCGGGATAGTCCATCCAGCATACGACTATCGTACTCGATGTCAGCAGTTGGCTTCCTGTAAATGACACCGACTAGACACCTCGAAGTGCTAGACAATCTTACAGAGCACCATATGGATTCCTCAAGATTGTTAAACTCGAGGTTGTGAACTTGATGCACCTCCAAGCAAGAACTTATGTATATGGCTACTCCACCCCCAATTCCTGTTGTTCTGTCGTTGCGGAACAAAGTCATCCCTGGTAATGCTAACTCATGGTCCGAGAACTGAGAAGATATCCAGGTTTCAGATATTCCTATCAGGTGGGCCTTATTAGCGTTGCAAAGTTCACGTAATTCATCCAGTTTGTTTGGTAGACTCGAGGCGTTCGTATATAAGCAGTTTATGCTTTCAATTTGGAACGCGTGAGCTTCGTCCTGTTTTTCTGTATGAACCTTATGTGAATGGACAGGTAGCCCACCCATGTGAGGTTTACCGAGGTGGTAGGCCCTGTCCTTTACACGTTTTTTTATCGTTTAGACAATCCACAAATGGAATGGTCAGCTCCAACTTGCCTTTGTGCTTGGTCCTGGCCTGTCCGGGTGCATGTGAATTCCAGGTGGCAATCGACGTCTGTTGGCACGAAATGCTTCCAGAACTGCAGCCGCCATGTGGGAAGATGGGAAGGTTATCTTCATTAGACGAGGTCTAAGATCAAAGTTCTTCTTGGCTAATCTCGTCACATGCTGAGTC